AATTTTAATGTTCTGGATGCTAAGTGTATTGCTATCATCTGTGGTGGGTTGATATAGAGGAAAATGTGAAGTACAAGGTTGTTCTGTTGCTCTTGAGGTGAGTGGAATATTTTACTTTCTTATAAACCTTTCTTATGATGGAATACTTTGATACCCTGGTGATGATAGGCACTTTTAGAGAAAGTTAAAATTTAACTAGATTTAAGATATTTTTAATCCCTGGATTTGTCCTGGCATTATGAGTTTGGTGTTGAAGGACTCAGTACCTGGAGTATGAGGCCAGGCATTAAATTACCTAGAAATCAAAAGATGATTAAATACAGATAAGGTGATTATTCAGCCTTACCTTGAGAAACAAATGGATTAATCTTCAGCTACCTTTCATGTGATCAGAGAGAGAGACTCCTACCATCAAAATTGTTTTCTCATCTATGCTCTGCACATAGCAGGAATCTACTTTCTTAAATAATAAATTTTGATTTTTAAATTTTTAGGTACCAAAGATTTACAACCCAAAAGTAAAATAACGTCCCAAAGTACCTTAGTATTTTGGAAATGTCCTACTGTTTGAAATTGCACTGATGGAATTCGTGATTCATACCAGAGAAACCTGTGACCTGGAGGGTATCAGAAGGGATGAGCATTTACTTATTACGTTAATTACTAATGAATGATACTTCTCACTAGGCCATCAAATGGTTACGTGTGTTCCCAGAAACTGACACCACCAAGAAGAGTGAATAGTTGGACATTTTTATGAACAAGACAATGTCTGGGAGATGTCACCATTCTAAATCCTTCCATTTGAAGTGCTTCTTTGTTTTGTTTAGGATAATAGCCACCTGTGGAGAGCTCTTGCGGCAATGTGGGGACTTCGAGCAGCAGCTAGCCAACAGGTAGGAGAGAGGGCTGTCCTCGAGTGCCCATGGTTCTCGTCTGGAGAGGAACTTGACACATTGCAGCAAGGACAGCATATGGTCAAACCTATCCGCCACAGGGCTTGAGGACAGTCTGAACCTAGATACACATTGTCTTGATTGTCATCATTAAACATTTATTGAGCACCAGAAAGGGCAAGGCTCCATTCGACTCAGCAGTGGTCATACATCATTGTGATTAGATATGGAGGTTT